TTTAACTGTGGGATAGAGGGAATCCAAGAGGGTAAGACTCCGTGGAGCCCCCACAACTAAAAAAGCAATCAAAGCAAGCCTCAAGCAACCAGAAGCTGAGGTTTAAAACAAGCAAAAGAGAGAGAGAGAAAGCATCAATGAAAAGGTTTGACTTCCCTGACAAACACCTCTCTAGTATTGAATCTGACTCCAGGCCCATTTATATCCTGGAAAAGAGGGCTCAGTAGGACACGAAACATGCTCTAAGAGTATTAGTTCTTTTAGCCAAGTGAATAAAGATGTCATTCAGTAGGCTCTTGGACTCTTCCAATACATCACAAGCGCACAACCAATAAAGTTCTGGAATTCCACTGTCTGTTCCCATGGATTCTCCAAAGAAGAGAGGAGAGGGCCCATAGGTGGCTGGCCTCCATTCTACTGATCAGAGAGAAACCTCACTTACTGCCAAAAACAAACGCACTCACCAAAACTGCATCATCAAGTTTCAGGACAACCTTTCCAAATGCTCTTCGTGCATGTGCTGGGCCCATATGTACTCATATAGCATAACTGAGTAGAAGGAAAGGTTATGGAAAGTTGCCTGCCTTAATTACCTTCAAGTATGGAGGTTCTAGTCCAGAAGTGCCTTCAGTAGGTACCCTGTGCCCACGCAATCATTGGCATAGGACTCAGCCCAGTATGTCATATCACAATGTTGTTTGGCTTTATTTTCACGATAAAAAAAACAAGGCACAAGTACTGCTTCAAGTCAAATATGAGAGTGCTTCACAAAACTTGCAGAAAATGGAATAAAGATAAGCTTATCCTGGTTTAAAATGTGTGAACTTGTTTGTTCATAATATGTATTTTCTGTGAACTTTTTAAAGACCCTCTGCTCATGGTTGTGTTTTAACGAAGTACACCTCTTTCAATTTCACTTTTGATAAACTTTTTGACAAACCCCCACAAGCAGGTTTTCAATACATATATATTGAAAGAATGAACTGGACATTTCAACAACTATGAAATGCCCTTTTTCTATGTCATGTGTTTGGCCCTCTGATGTTTGGTAACTCTGAGAGGAGAAATAAAAATGAGTAGTCTTAAGAAAAGCTGTAGCACCTCTTCCTCAAGATACAATCTGAGAGTAACAAGTGAGAGTCATGGGGGTTCAGTCAAGGAGGTCATGGGGTTAACTCCAAGGTGGCAACAGGGCTACTCTGACCCCAACACTAGTTCCGTTCATCTCCATGAACCAATGCCCACATGAGGCAGGAAAACGGCCAGACCAGAGCGGGCCAATCAGCCTGCAAATACCAGGAACAGATCTGATGAGCCTGAATTCTCAAAGGAGAAAGCATTTTCTTGACACTTCGAGAACTCCAGAAAACCCATAGCTCATTTGTCCAGAACTGCTGCTCACTCTTTGACCTCACTACCCTGGACAATGTCCATCAGGCAAGAGGCTGCTCAAGATCCCCTACTCTGATGCTTTTCTTATCCCAGGATTCATGGCAATACTCCATGCTTGTTTGTTTAACCTCAGCGTGCTCCAACAATGACTGTCCTTGTCTTCCTGATCACTGATGCCAGCTGCATGTAATGGAATAAAAGAAGGAGGGGAGGGAATGAAGAAAGAAAAACAATAGGGGAAGAAGGAAGAGACATAAAAAAGTAAAGAGACATTTGGAGGACTATTTCCCTATTAAAAAAAAAAAGCAGATGTCATTCTAATATCTTCACTGCCTGGGTGAAGCCTTCTGATTATTAGCAAGTCACAAATCTTCCTGAGCTGTCATGTGCCAAGGCTGTGCGTATGTCTACATTATAAGTCAGAGGCAAAGCCAGGTGCAGTTTTCAGACTGTTTTGCAGCATCCCACAAAATAGGGCAAAGGCCGAATGACTTTCCAAAGCAAGTCTCTCCACAATGGACCATGAACGTGTCCATCACGTTCGACCTTCAATTCTCAGCTCCCACTACCAAGTTCTCCTGGCTATGTCTGCTCCTCATATCAATGGGAATTCATAATTAAAACCACAAGCACAACCAGAAAGACCTTCCAGGGGGACAGGGAGGGAAAAAAAGCAAGAGCCACTGCCATGGCCCTGGATTGGAAATCACACACACACACACACACTTACTTTAGAAATCCATCTGGCATATTCTCCTATCCCTACCACTGATGCCACTGTTCCTGCATTCAACTGATAAATAGTGCATCTATATTTGGCCCATCTCAAGGTCAGTGGAAGCAGCAAATATGTCTTTGTCCACTCACCCACCCACATAAGTGTGTGTGCGCACACACCACAGATTTTGCTTGCTGCCCATTCAGAAATCTTCATCCCATAAGACTACTGGATTCTTCATCAGATGCTTCCAGAAAAGCCGTCTGGATGTGTTTGTTCTTTCCCTTCCATTCCCGACCCACACTCAGAAGCCCTCAACACACACCTGGGGCTGTAAGACCTCGAGAAGCATGCTTTTCAAATTCCATTGGTTCACAGAGGCACAAAATCTGCAGCAGCTCCAAAATGGACATCAAGTAAAAAATACCAGATTTCAAAAGTCTGTGATTATGTATTTACACAAATTACATAATCCTAGACATACTTACATACAATTACAGATTATCAAGTGAAATAACACAAGCTCAAAGTGTTCATGGGATGAAATAGGAGGAGAATGCTGTCAATGGAAGCCATTCATTTTTTCTACCAAAAACAGGACCCGGCAGGGCAGGCTCCCAGCACTGCAACGCTGCTGGGGGACATTTGCGTGACAGATGGGCAGGGTCCGTGCCCAGGAAGTCTTTGACTGTGGGGCAGGGGTTGGCACCACAAGGTAGCCGTTGGCTCTTCAAGCATCTGTCTACGGAAACAGGAACTAGCCGTTCCGCAGTGGCTCTGGCCACCGTCCAGTGGACCTTGGGGCTTGTTAGGACACAAACCTGATGCAAAGCCGTGAGCTAAGGCTAACTCACTCGAACCGCCCGGCAGAACAACGCCCATGCCGGGTCTCTGAGCCACCTACTCTCCGGGAACACATATTGACACGAATTGCTTATGTCAATATTGATTGATTCAGACCATTGCCATTTATTGTCCCAATCGCCAAAAGCATATAACATTCTGCTTTTCTTTCGAAAAGTAAAGTAGATGTTAAAGTAGCATTTTCTAAGAATGCATGGATATTTGAGTCATTTTCTAGTTCTTTTCCTTTCAGGGTGACATGTAGGGATTCCTGCTACCTGAAGATAACTTTTGGCTGTCTTCTCATTTCTTCCACGCTAAATAGTATACCTAAGAGATCCCAGAAAATTGATTCTTCCCGGTGGTTAAGGTTTAATGCTTTTCAGCCAAAAACTTGGAGGCCTTTTCCGGGGTAGGGGGACACTAAAGCCTGAAGATGCCCATAGCAGCAGCAAGGAGTTAAACAATAAGAGTATTTCTTGGAATTCAATGCAGCTGAGGTTTAGAAAACAAACAAACGAAAAATTTTAATTCTGATGAATAAATGAAGACATTACCGTTAATCAACGGTCTCACACGGCTTCTGTCCCCTCCACCCAAAGTATGTCTTGGTTCCCAATATTCCGTGCGTCTCAATGGGACTCGTGCCACGGAGAGACTACGTGCGTGTGCTCACGACAGAAAGCCATGCGCTTGTACTACACAACAGCTCCAACTCGCCAGTGACATACTTTTATTTTTCAGAGAATGTGCATCAGAGCAAAACAAGATTGAAATATGAAATTTTAAAGTTACACAAATCCCAACACATTGAACTGTCACCTTCCATTTCCCAACACAGCTGGACAGTGTGTGGTATAGATGAATGACAATTGCAAGTTCTTTCCTCTTAAATATTGCTTTAAGAATTTGCTCTTTCCACCTTCGTATTTAGTTAGAAATAACGTTCCCTTGCTCCAGGGCAAGTTGCAAAATTATTGCTTTCAACCACGTATGTTTTCTTATACTCTTCAGCATAAAATGCTATAAAAGCCTTGTAGCAGATATTCTATAGTGTAACCTCTCCCCTACCCCCCCAAAAAAAACAAAAAAAAAGAGCACTACAAAGATCACTTTTTAAAACAAAACACATTCAACAAGTATAACATTCTCCTTCGTGTCATTATTGATCAGGATTTATTCGTTTCACTTTGCAGGTTTTACCGTATGAATGCCAGCGACAGCACTTGAAGGGTGCTGTTGCCACATAATTATGACAGCTCGCACCAAAATTAATTCTCTATATAAGGTGTTCCAAGGACCCCCCGGTACTTGTGTGGTTTCAGATTCGATGGCCAAGTGTACAAATAAAAGGTTTACAAGAACCATCCTATTAAGCTGACTCCTCTCTCTTCCCACTCACTCCCCACCTGCTCCCCGCACACACACAAAAAAATATCTCTGTGCTATGTGTAAGCATGTAAGCGTTTTCTTTCTCTCTCTGGAGAGTTCTCTATCAGCACAATGTTTGATGTGAGTCTGCTGTTCTGGAGGTGGACTGAAAGAAAAACAATTACTGTTCAGCTTTGGTATAGTCTGTCACAGGTGGAAACAAGTGCGGCCTAGACCAACCCCTGTGAGGCTACAAAGATGGAGCCACTGAGGAGAGAGGAAATACTACAACACACGGAATCAAAGGTTGAGACCCAGTTTCTCTTTAATCCTCTGGGATAAGCTATGAAACAAGCAGTCTGCAGAGTGAATACTCAGTGTCATGGGCGATGTGCATACGTTTTACAATAATACGGGCACAGGAGAGATTGTCGCCTTGAGTACATCAGGGGTCGTTAGAGCTCCTTGCGTTCATGCACGGTGAGACCTTCTCGCACCAACGGACCACAGGTTCATAGCGGACTTTTCCATTTCATGCTTACAGAGCCTAAAGCTTCCAAAATGCCTATCTGGCCTGTACATATTTCATTAAAAATAAACTCTATATAATAAATAAATATATAAAATAAATAAAATGTTGCCTTTGGAATTTCTATAAATAAATTTAACTTTTTTTCTTTTTTTTTTTCCTTTTTCTTTTTTTTTCTTTTTCTTTATCTTTTTTTTTTTTTAAACTAAGAGGTCTTTGCTTTCAGTCCACTGAGATGACACCAGCAAGAATTAACTGAAAAAGTCTTTTATGGAAAGACTGTACCCTCCATGCATTTGAAAATGCAACGGACCCTTGCGCAGGCCACCAGCCAAAAATCCTGATGAGTCGAAGTATGGCAGCTGATACAAGATGAAATACAACTGATCAAAAATGTAAAAGCATATCTATTTCCCAGCATGCATCAGGCCGTTGATCTCTCTGGTCTCCCCCCCTGCTCCGCACCCACTCACTCACGCATTCACTCACACCCCTCTCGCTCAGTCCCCCCCACCCCCGGGCCCTTCTTTCACAACACATCGAGCCAGGGACCCCCACCCCCAGCAGCCCTCCAGGAGGAGGAACTGTTAAGTGCAGAACAAAATCAGCATGTTTCCATCTAAGCCTCCATCAGACATCATGCATGCGACAAAGTTTGGCAACCGTGGAGCTGAGGTGACGACACCCAACCATGTGAAACCTTTATAGTGGTTACTTTTTTTTTTTTTTAAGGACTCAAGTGAAGAAATTGTCTTTGTCAACTTTGGTTTAGAATATCCTTATAGAGTTCAGGTACTTTGTCAGGGTCCACTGGCCTAGGTAAAAAATGTGTGAATTTCTGGTGCCGTTTAGTCCTGGTCCCTTCTCGTGGGCTCCCGTCTTTATTTAAGGCGACATAGTATCGCCTGCCAGTGTCCACGTGTTTGTACAGGTTCGATGAGTACGTGTTATACCAGTTTTCTTCAAACTGTTCTCTGAATACGCACTCTTGGGTTAGTTTTTCCTGCAAGAAAAAAAAAAAAAGAAGAAAAGAAATGAAATGAATGACGTGCAAAATTAACTACTTTCTGTATTTCACATGACATTTCACTGTGATGGAGGACAGGCCGATACCAGGACAACTGCGGGTCGGGTCGCAGGTAGCTTGTTCTTTTGAAATGCTTCTGTATGAAGAATGAGATATCTTAGGGAAAAGAGCCAAGTTGCAACATGAAACATGAATGCTTGCTCTATGCCTTGCATACACGGTCTGGAGGTCACTGTGTACCACAGGTTTAAATAGCTCTGTGCTTGAAACAAAGTTTCCTCATGTGGAATTGTCCACATGAGTGTCAAATCAGGGCTCAAAGTTTCAGGTCTGGGGGCGTTTCATAAGGGATGCTCAACCTATATAATCCTCGTGAGACATTACTAATTTGAAGCCAGTTTAGCCACCGAAACACATTTAGGGAAAAAAAAAAAAGACAAAATTTAACTATCAATCTAACAGCATTCTGATTCTTCATTTATAATCATTACTCTCAATATTTTCCCATGAAACTTTTCTAGATGCCAATTACTGGGTGAGTCAAGTGCAAAGGACAATGAAGGCGCTGGGTCATTCCCGGTTTTATTGGAGCAATTATATGGTGACGATCTGGGAGGGCACACCTGGATCAAAGCCAAGGGCTCAGGTAATGTTTCATCCTTAAAACATTTCTTCTAAAATGCTGGCTCTGCAGACCAACATGTACCCCCGAAGCAGTGATGTCACATGCCATCTGCCCTGCTGTTGCTCTGCGACCCTCTGAGCCTGGTGTCCAGGCTTCCATGCGCAGCAGAATTACCCACGGTGCTTCCTCGAGAGAAAGTCTTTCATTCACTAGTTGGCTCCCAAGTGGCTGCAGCAGCCCAGGGCTAGACCAGGCTAAAGTCAGGGGCCGAGAAGTCCCAGGTCCTCTACGTGGACGGCAGCAACTCCGGGTCCGACGCCTCGCCTGTCTCCTCCCAGGCCACACCTTAACAGGAAGCTGGATGAGAAAGGGGCAGCGGACAGCAGGTACGCTATCACAGAGCAATGACACCCCTCAGCCTACATTTTAAGGTAGACTGTTGTCCCTTAGCATCCTCCAGGGATTGATCTGAGAACTCTTCTCGCCCAGAGAGACCAAAATCCACAGGTGACCAAGACCCGTACAGAAAATGTATAGTATTCAAATATAATCTATACATCTTTTCTCCCTATCGGCTCTAGATGGCTTACACTAGCTAACACAAGGCAATGATATGTAAATAACCGTTATACAATATATAAATATATATAAAAATATCTAAAGTGTGTGCATCTTCAGTACAGATGTCATTTTTTTCCCAAATTTCAACTGAATTGCTCATCCTCAGTTGGATGAACCCGCAGAGGTGGAACCATGGGATCCAGCAGGTGCCTGCCGTAATTTCCTATCAGGACTGAATGGGTCTCCTCAAATATTCAGGCTCTGTCATTTCCTTAAAGGGGTCAAGAGCCCGCCACACTCTCAGGCACACACTTGCTCTCCTACTCCCAGGGCAGGAAGGTGCTCCGTCTTCCACAACATCTCACACTTCCAATTGAGCTGTACGACAGCCAGGTTCCAGAACATTTAACCACCCACAGCCCACAGCTCCAGCATACAATAATGACCAGAAAGGATCAGTGTAGCAGAGCCCAAGGCCAGGAGCACGTGCCAGGCAGAATGAAAGTGTCTGGGTGGGCCCTAGAGGGACAAACAAGGCAATAGGATTTACCGGCCTCGTTGCTCTTTCCAAATCTCAATTGAAACTTTCAAAATCAATCCCTTCCCAGATCATGCTTTTAAGAAATGAACACTAAAGACTTCTTGCAAACACTGACTTTATTATAGCACCTTACATAACGGAAGAGGAAAAAAGCCTATGGATTTATGTACCGATGGCTCTGGGGTTTCAAGTCATCTCAAATTAAAATTTCACTTGTCTTGGTAAACATGTAGATTTTTTTTCTTAGTCGTTAGTCTACTTTCCTAGAATTTACACCGTATTAACAAAAAGTAATCTGAAAGTCATTTAAGACATATGGGAAGATGTGCAAAGCTTCCATGCCAATACGATGCCATATTCTGTAAGACACGTAAGCGTAGATTTGGGTATCTTTGCAAATCCTGAAGCCAAACCCCAAGGGATTATTGTAGACATCTGCAAATAAGGGCAGTTGCAATCCTTCTCTCCCTCAGACTCAGCACAGATAAAAACCCTTATAATGGCCAAACTACAGATGTGCTTTTCATGTGCATACAGGTGAGAACATGCTTGAACACGCTAACATCAGGTGAGGAAATTGCAGCATCCCCCACTGCTTTGGAAAAAGGGAAATGCCAAGAGGAGAAAAGCTAAAATCTGATCAAATCTATCAACAGTCCAACCTAGGACTGATGAACCAGAAAAGCACACACACACACCCTCTCTCTCTCTTTCTCCCTCCCTCTCTCTCTCTCTCTCCACAGCTCAGGAGGGCCTTTATTTCTGGACAATTCTCTTTGAAAGGGTCAAAGCACAGAGTAGGTTTTCAACAAAATATCATCTCGGGGGTAAAGCATAGCCAACTGTGTTAAAACCAGGGCAACTAGAAGAAAATGCCTAAGTCAAGGGCAGCAGTGATGTGAACTCTTCCGACGGTTGGCACTGGGTTGATAGGGACAAAATGAACTACAGAGGCGTGCAGTCATGCCATCACTCCACCTGTACCTGACATCCTGCCATTTGCGGGTACTGGTAGAAGCCAACCTGTGCAAGATGTGTGTGGGAGCATCCTTTGATCTCTCTGTGCAGGTGGACCTAGATGGCTCTTCCCGTGGGGAAAGAACCTCCTTAACTAAGGCCTCTCTCTCTTCCAACACTGATGAAGCCCACGGAGCATGCTAAAGATATTAAGAGCTATTTCAGTCTCTGCTTCCATCTGCATCATGAATAGTCACTTCACAGGCCAGATTATTCCTGGCTACAAAGGGTTGCTTTGGGTTTGCAATCATCAAATAATTTTTTCTAAACAAATTGTGGCGATTTCACTTGCCACTAATAAAATGGACCCAAGTATGGGATTCAATGCCAAGTCCTTGGGTAGATAAAGAACAAGAAAAACTAACTGAAATTAAACTTTTTTTCTCTCACTAGGAAATCACTTCACTAGGTAAACATGATAAAATTCACTTCTACTCTGAAAAACCAGAACATGGGCCTGGCACAGTAGCCTAATGGCTGAAGTCCTCACCTTGCATGCAACCAGGATTCCGCATGGACACCGATTTATATTCCAGCTGCTCTACTTCCCACCCAGCTCCCTGCTTGTGACCTGGGAAAGCAGTACAGGACGGCACAAAGCCTTGGGACCCTGCACCCGTGTGGGAGACCCAGTAAAAACTCCTGGTTCCTGGCTTCAGATCAACTCAGCTCCAGCTGTTGCAGTCACTTGGGGAGTAAACCAATGAATGGAAGATCTTTCTCTCTGTCTCTCCTTCTCTCTCTGTATATCTGACTTCCCAATAAAACTAAACCTTTCAAAAACAAACACAACAGAACGTGTGCTGCTTGCTGTGGAACCACGAGGTGGGCACTTGTTAGGGCTTCCTTTGCACACGCAGCACAGCTGTGGAAAAGTAGCCCTGTTGACCCAGGAACAGCTTCAGCAGAGAAGAGCCAGTTCACAGTCAGAAAAGAGCCTGCTGGGGAGGCAGAAGCCTGCCTACATGCCAGCTTCCCCTGCCACCCACTCACGGGAGGACATTTAGCCCTGAGTATGTCGCCTCGCCACAGCTCAGGAGCCTCATCGAAATAACAGAAAATCCAAAAAGCTTTGCAACCACCTACACCTTTTCCATGATGAGGTCAACTCAAATGAAGCCCGCTCAACCCATAAAGTCTGCACAAATACCACAAAAATCTGAACTACTTCCAGTGCTGACCGTTTTGGATAAGGGATCTACAAGGTGTGTAAGTATATTGGGACACTGGTGTGACCATCACAGGACAGCCCTGAGCACCTAGCAAGTCCACACCAAAGAGCAGGAACTCTTGAGGGCTCATTAACATCCTAGGACCCAAACACACCTGCAACTTCTCCAGTTCAATTCCGGGGGACAGCGAGGGCTGGGTGGAGGAGATACACCTCTGGTCTACACCAACGGATATTGTAGTTACTGGAATGAAGTTAGAGCAGAGTTTCCAGAACCTTCGTGGAGCACCACACACTCGGGAGCAACGCCTTCCACTTCTCACACAGGCAAGGAAACCCCTCCCAACCAAGGAGGCTAGGGATGCTCTCTCCCCAGACGGGGAGGGTCGTTTGCAGGATGCGACCGCCAATGAAAGGTAGCAAGACTTCTGAGAGTCCTGCAGGAGGGGCTCAAGAAGGGAGAGAATGAGGGAAATGAAAACACTGCAAGCGGCCTTCAAACTGGGGGCGCCAAAATCAAAACATTTTCAAATTCCCTTTTTTCCCATGAACTTCTGAAATATCCTCCTATAGCTTCCTTTCGCATTGGCTTTGATATTAAAAATAAAAGCATTTATGGCTTTACAGGAGGAACAAGTAGAGTGGGAAGGCAAAACACAAGAAAATTCGGTCGTGGTGGAGACATGATCATCTTAAAAATGCAACATAAATTTATCCTCGGTGCTTACTAAGGGATTCTCGTTTGACATATGATTTTAAAGACTATGGGGGAAGAAAAAAAACTGAAGGTTAAGACAACAGTTAGGAAACTCAGGCTCCACACTGAAGTGCCAGGGTTCAACTCTCAGCTCCAACTCTCCAGCAGCTGCTGGCTCAGGTAGCTGGGTTCCTGGGGTGCACCTGGGCTGGGCTACAGGTTCCCAGCAGGGGAACTGCCTCCCACCCCAAGCCACTGCAGGCATCTAAGGACCGAGCCAGGAGAAGGGAGCATTTGCTCTCTCTCAGCTGTTCCTCTCTCCCCTTCCTTCTCAAATGAAAGTTCTTTAAAAGGACACGAAAGA